AATTGTATTCTCTGAGACCACAAACTCTCTGCTCCAGTCTGTGCTTTAAGGAGAAAGGGGAGAAAAAGTTCCTTGAGTTCTTGGTCCTTTCTAAGCATGGTTTTTCTGTGTCCCAGTGCACCTAGGACTAGTATGGTCTTGGGGACCCTGGGCTTGCTGAGATCATAAGTTTCTGTGCCAGCCTGACCCAGCAGTTATGGCGTTAGGAGCCACTAATTATGGCATTCCAACCCATCCCTTCTGATATTCAGACCCTGCTCCAGTCTGGGCTTTTAAGGTAGATGAGAAGAAGAGAGCTTTCCCATAGCTCCTTAGCCCTTTTAAACCCCAGGTTCTTTTTTTGTGTTGCAGCACAACTAGGGCTTGTGGAATCAACTCAGCTGGGGCATGTGGACCATGAGCTCACTGATGCAACCAGACCTGCCCCTTATGGTGTCCAGATCCTGCTCTGCTCTAATCTAGGCTTTTAAGGTGGGGTGGGAACATGAACAGTGTGTTCTCAGTCCCTCATACTGGGAGAGTATCCCCTCAGTTACTCCACAACCTGGCAGACTTCTAGTGTTTTCTATTTATATGTTCTTTTAAACAGAGATTTTTTTTTTCCATACCCAAAGACAGAGGGATCTGTTCCCAGGCTGTCCCTCCCTATAGTGTTTGCAGCCTCAGGTGTGGAGTTTCCCTCTGTTACAGTGTCTCCATATCTCTTGCTGTTCCATTGCCATTCTATCTATCTGTGGTTGTTCAGTAGCTGTTTAGTTGACCTTCAGTTCTTCAAGAGGAATTGTTCTATCAATGGGTGTATTTTTGTGTGTTCTGTGGAGGAGGTGATATCAGAGTGTTCCTGTGTCACTGTCTTGAATCAGGACCCTCCTATTAGAATGGTTTTAAAACAAACTGTATCAAGTCTTGATAAAAATGGGATGAATAGTGTGACTGGGTGTCTCAGTTGGTTAAGTGACTGACTACCTTCTGCTCAGATCATGATCCCAGGGTCCTGGGATCGAGTCCTGCTTCAGGCTCCCTGCTCAGCACAGAGTCTGCTTCTCCCTCTGATCTTCCCCCTCTCATTCCCTCTTTTCTAAATAAATAAATAAAATTTTAAAAAAGAAAATGTGATGTATAAATGGAATTCTTTTTTTCCCAGTTTTTTTTGAGATATAACTGACATATAGCAATGTAAGTTTAAGGTGTACAGTATAATAATTTGACTTACATGTATTATGATTGCCACAGTAAGTTTAATTAACATCCATCACTTCATATAGATACAAAAAATAGAAAGAAAAAAAATGGTTTTTTCCTTGTGATGAGAACTCTTAAGATTTACTCTTGTAAAAACTTTCAAATATACCATATAGCCATTTTCACCTCAGTCATTATGCTGTACATTAGACCCCTAGTATTTATTTATCTAATAGCTGCAAGCTTGTGCCTTTTGACCACTTCACCCAATATCTTCTTCCCCAAACCTCTGTCTCTGGTAACCACTAATCTGATCTCTTTGTGTATATATATCTATTTTAAGGTTCCACATATAAGTGAGATCATAAATTATTTATCTTGTCTTTCACTGTCTGACTTACTTCACTTAGTTTAATGCTCTCAAGATCCATCCATGTTGTCATAGTTGGCAGGAATTCTTAATTTTTTTATGGTTGAATAACATTCCATTGTATACACACACACACACACACACACACACGAATCAAACCTCTTTATCTATCCCACTGTCAGTGGAAGCTGGGGTTGTTTCTATATTTGGGCTATTGCAAATAATGCTTCAGTGAACATGGGAGTACAAAAAATTTTTTGACACAGTGTTTTCATTTCCTTCTAATACATACTTAGAAGTGGAATTGCTGGATTATATGGTAGTTCTATTTTTAATTTTTTAAGGAAACTCCAAACTGTTTTCAGCAGTAGCTGTAGTAATTTTCCATCCTATGAATAGTGCACAAGGGTTTCCTTTTCTCCATATCCTTGTCAGCATGTGTTACCTCTCATCCTTGTGATGATGGCCCTTCTAACAGGCATGAGGCGATATCTCATTGTGGTTTTGATTTCTATTTCCCTAATAGTTATTGATGTGCAAATGGAACTCTCATACACTGATAATGAGGATGTCCAATTATACAATGACTTCAGAAAAGTGTTTGGTAACTTCTTGAATTGTTAGGCCTACACCTACCATCTGATCAGTCTCTGTACTCCTAGATATTCACCAAAGATAAATAAAAACATGTCCATAGAGAGACTTATGTACAAATGCCTATAGTAGTGTTAATTGTTACAATCAGGAGTAACCTAAATGACCCTCAGCAAGTGAATGGATAAACATATCCAAACAATGGGACAGTACTCAGCTCAGCAGTAAAAGGAGTGATCTGGTGATATAAACAGCAACTTACAAAAATCACAAAGAACTTATTCTGATGAAAAGAAGTCACCAAAAAACACACATACTCTATAATTCCATTACTCAAAATTTTGGAAAACGCAAACTGATCTATAGTGACAGAAAGGATGTCAGTGGTTACAAGGAGATATGGTGGCAAAGAACATTGAGGAGGAGAGAATACAAACCATCAAAAAAGCAAACTTTTGAGGATATGGATTAGTTCACTATTTTGAATGTGATGATTTCATGAGTTTATACATATGTTAAAAATTAATATATTGTTAACTTTAAATATGTGCAATCTATTCTATATTAATTATAACTCAATAAAACTACTATTGCAGGATATTAAATTAGTTTATTGAGAGTTATTTAAGAGTCTTAAAGTAAAGGAAAGATATACCACATTCTTGGATTAGAATACTAAAATTATAAAGTGGTCAATTCTGAAATTTACTTAAAAAGTGATATAATAAGCATCAATACCAAATACCGAATACCAAAGTAGCTGATTGCAGACATTGAATGTCAACTAATTCAGCCAGACTTTATGGGTATCAAGATAGTGCATCTAAAGAGAACAATTTACGGTAACTCTGATGTTCATATTTCCACATAACTGATTCCATTTTTCTCAGGGCTAAATCCCAAGCAGAAAAAAACAGCTCAAAGTTTTAGATAGTCTCAATGGGCGTAGAGCGATGAAACTGGAGTCCAGCAAAAAATAAGATGATGAGGACTGAAGGAGACAATGTAACAGAATAAAAGGAATTACAGAGTAGTGAGTCTGATATTCTGAGCCACTTTTCTTCTCCAAGTGTTTCTCTTCCAAGCCATCATGTATAGGGCATAGGGTCAAGAAGCCAAGTGAAAACAATAACAAAAAGCCTTAGAAAACACATAAAGCCTGAGTGGCTCAGTGGGTTGAGCGACCAGTTCTTGATTTCAACTCAGGTCATGATCTCAGGGTCATGGGATCGTGAACCACATTGGGCTCTGCACTTGACAGGGAGTCTGCCTGAGATTCTCTCTCCCACTTCCTTTGTGCCTCCCCCTCTACTCATGCTCTCTCTAAAGAATAAATAAATAAACAAATAAATAAATATTTTTTTAAAGAAAATACCTAAAGATTATTAGTCTCATAGTGTGCAGGTAACAATAAAAGCAGAGTCCTAAAGCTGAGACCCATACAGTTGACACCTTAGAAGAGGCCCTTTTGAAGTAAAAATCGGAGAGATATCACTCTTTGCAATGACTGAAATACAACCTTAAACATCTCAATTCCTGATTAGGGCAGTGATCCTCCCCCATGGAAAATCTCTGCCAAAACAGGATTAAATCCATTTTTTGAAGAAAGATAGCATCACCCATAGCTTCTACAGATTTTTATTCTGTAGGACAACTATTGAGTGAAAAGTATCAGGCTTCAAGTCCAAATGATAGAAGAATAAGAGAATAAAAGACAACAGAAAGAGACCCAGGGGAGAAATAGATATTGGTATTATTAGGCATAGACTTTAAATTTCTTTTCTTATTAACATGTGCAACAATATTGGTTTCAAGATTGGGAACATTACTAAAGAAATGGGATCTCTACAAAGGATCAAATAGAAATTCTGAAACTCAGAAGTATAAAGACAAAATCAAAGGGTGCAAAAGATACATAGAATTAGTTTCTATTGACTTAGATAAACCAATGAAAATCATTCAGATGGATACAAGGAAGGAAAACAAAAAAGCTTTAAAAATTTAGAAGAATTTGGGGCACCTGGGTGGCTCAGTGGGTTAAGCCTCTACTTTTGGATCAGGTCATGATCTCAGGGTCCTGGGATCGACCCCCACATCAGGCTCTCTGCTCAGCAGAGAGCCTGCTTCCTCCTCTCTCTCTCTGCCTGCCTCTCTGCCTACTTGTGATCTCTGTCAAATAAATTTAAATAAAAAGAAAAAGAGCTTAAGAGGAAGGAGCAGAGAGTTGGGGACAGTAAAATCTCAAATGACAGAAGCTCTCAAATGGTGTGATTAAATTTAGATAAACCAGGATAATCCCCACGCCGGATCCTTAACTGAATCACATCTGCATCGATCCTTTTTCCCTACAAATTAACAGGTGAGAGCTCTAGGGATTAGGACCTAATATCTTTGGTTTGTTGTTTTTCACTCTACCACAATCTGGAAGGGGTAAAATTCCAAGTGGTCATGGTCATCTGGATTCCACAACAGAACTATAAAAAGGGAGCTGTAAGGAGAAGGCTGTGGAATCCACACATTTGTGGAAGCTGCTACCTAGAGGGTAATTGCCGTCTGTGAGGAAGTGTCTGTCTCTGTGGAAAATGGTTTCTCCACAAAGCCCACTGTCTCTCAGGAATCACATTTCTGTGGAAGCTGCTGCTTTGTGGGACTGCAGTCATGACTCTGGGGTAGAGCTGGAGGTGCTGTGGGTTGGCAGAGTAAGAAGTCAGAAAGACGAAGTAACTGGATGTGAAGAAGGAGGAGATAGATGATGATGTGGAGTCTACCTGGCACTTCAGCATCCACCTGTTGTTCTGTTTGACCTCAGCATCCTTCTGAGAGTAACGATCTCTGTCTTGGTTTTATCTTTCAGAGTTCCCCTCATGGCCCAGTTCTGACAAACACAGGGAAAGGGATTTGTGTGAAATGGATTTCCCAGACAGGAATTTTGGTGCTAGTTTGACCACAGAAAAATCCAGCATATTCCACATTTCCGCTGACATTTAGTATTGCCAGCCTTTAATTTCACCCATTTTGGTAGGCGACTGGTACCTCACTGTATTTTTATTTTCAATAAAATTTTTTTTCTGGTGAATAATGATGTTCATGACCTTTTATATGCTTTAATGGCCATTTGAACATTTTCTTTCGTGAAGTGCCCCTTCAAGTCTTTCTGCCATTTTTTAATTAGAACTTTTTATTATTGATTTGTAGGAGTTAATTCTATCCTGACTACTAGTCCTGTATAAATTTGGATATGTGTGTGTTATACTAATTCAAATTCAAACTGAGCCCTTCAAAGCCTACAACTTGTATCTTTGCTTCCTTAACACTATTCTTATTTTGAATGAAGTCTAATTTTCCTATGTTTTTTGTTGTTAGTGTTTATTTCATCTTGTTTAAGAAATCTTTGTCTGCCATAAAGCCATAACTGTATTCTGTTAGGCTTTAACTAGAAACGCTATACATTTGTTTAAAGACTTATTTATTTGAGGTGTGCCTGTCCAACTCAAGGTTGGGCTCCCTGCTCAGTGGGGAGTATGCTTTTCCCCCTCTCTCTCTTTCTCAAATATAGATTTATTTATTTGAAAGAGAGAACAAGTCGGGAGAGAGGTAGAGGAAGAGAGAGAATCCCAAGCAGACTCCCTGCTGAGCTCAAAGCCCCAGAGGAGCTACATGGATCCCTAACATGGGGCTTCTCATGGGGCTTAACCCCAGGCTGGATCCCACCACCCTAAGATTATGATCTGAGCTGAAATCGCAAGTTGGATGCTTAACTGACTGTGCCATTCAGGAGCCCCTAACTAGAAGCTTTATATTTTGAACTCTCATATTTAGTTCTATGATCCATTTTTTTTAAATGTTTATGTGTGGTACAGGGTCAATACGAAGTTTCACTTATTTCCATGCAGATATCCAATTGCTTCAGCTCCATTTACTGAAAAGACTACCACTTTCTACCTCTAATGGCAGGGACAACTTTTTTAATATATATGTAAGGTAATTGTATGCATGTCTTTTTTTTGGGGGGGGGCTATATCTGGTCTTGTGGATGTATCTCTATTCTGGTATGAAATTAAACTGTTTTTATTATTATGGCTTTAAAGTAAATCTTGATATTCAGAATCGTAATTTCTCCAAAGATCCTTCTTTCCAATGTTGTCTTGGCTATTCTAAATCCTATGCATTTCTATGTTAATTTTAGAATTAGGATATCATTTTTTCAAAAAAAATCTATCTGTCATATTCAGGGATTTTGTTCACTCTGTAGGTAGATTTGGGAGACTTTATATTCCAAGAATAGAGAGTTCCAATTCAAGTACATGGTTATTTCTCCAGTTATTAAGGTTTTCTTTTATTTTGTCAACAACACTTGAAGGCATGGTTTCCCAACAAGCAGATTCTGAAATCAAGATTATTGTGTTGGAGGTTTATTAGGGAGCGCTCTTGGTATCACCACCTGTGCAAGAGAGTTGAAGGAAGCAGTACTGGGCAGAAAGTTTTTCTAATTTTATTACATTTATTACTATTTTATTTTTGGATCCTCTTATACATGGTATTGTTTTTTTTAAATTTTTCATTGTTTACTGCTAACCTTCAGAAATATAATTCATGTTTAAACGTTGAGATATTTTAAGACTTTATCCAATAACCTTGATAAAATATATATTTTAATAATTTATGTTTTATCATTTACATATATAGTATATATATACACACAATTACATTAGCTATAGATAAAAATGTCTTATATCTTCCTTTTTCAGTTTTTATATTTTTAAATTTATTTTTCTTACCTTATTTTACTTCTAGGACTTCTAATAGACAGTAGAGGTTACTGAATAAAAATTACTGACAAAGGCCATTCTGATCTTGTTCCAGAGCTCAAAAGAAGAAACATTCACTCTTTTACCAAAGGTAATTTATTAGGTTTAGAGTTTGTTGTTGGTCGTTTTTCGTTTGGTTTGTTTTTTTTCTCTTCTTTTAATATCAATGTTTATCAGATTAGGGACACCTTGTGTTTCCAGTTTTCTTAGAGATTAGCTGTTAAATTTTATCAAATGCTTTTCTACATCTATTAAAATAATAGATTTTTTCTAAAATGTAAATCAACTTGTATGGCTAGAATAAATTCCAGTTGGTCATGTTATCATCCTTTCTATATATTCCTAGATTTCATTTTCCCTGGTGTTCTGTAAGGTTGGCATTTTCCTTGTTTATCCCTGGAAAAGCAGGAAAAGTTAGCTTCACTTTTCTATATGTTTGCCCAACACACTGTATTTATGGTCAACAGTATTGGGGCTGTATCCAGATAACAAGATATGACTTTGGGTTCCTTCCACTCAGCAAACTAGGAGAAAGAAAGAAGAAAGAAATGTACAGAGTTTGGAGACAGAGATTTAGTCTCACAGCTTCTTTATTGCTTTTGTGTGACCTGCAAGACGTATGTTCCCTAAAGTTGCCTGAATCACAGGATAATAGAGAAATACCTGCACTAACTATATTTTCCATCTGGTATTTCACTCAGTAGTGTGCTCTTAACCTCCACTGGATTAGCCAGCTTCTCGCATATAAACTTCATTCTGGAAGTACAGTCTTCATAGTAAACATATTGTGCATCTATATACCCACAAAACATCCTATCATTTACATCATTTCTCCTTTGTGTAAGCCTGAAAGAGAAAATAAAGAATTACAATTAGCAAGTCAAACATTTCAAACACATCCACAGGAAAAAACTGCTTTTCCAATATATCATTGCTTCTAGGTCTGCATTATCTAAAATAAATTTTAATTATTATTGGGACTATCGAGAGTGTCCAAGTTACTTATATTTATCAACAAATATGCAGTAGTAAACACTGCCTTACTTCAGTCTGCCTTTTCCACTATTTTACATCTGGACTATTTGCTTGCCTTTACTCCCAGATGTATAACTTCCCTTCCCCAATAGTTAATATGATTTAGAATAATGCAGTTCTATTAATTCTCCAGTCTGGCTCCTGTAGCAAATCTTTGACACTATCTCTTCAAATATTTTTTGTAATCACCCAAGCTTGGAATTAACCTAATATATGACACTTTTAGTTCAACATAATCTCCAAGTAACATTTCCTTCTAACCATTTTTCAAAGATTTTATTCTGACATTCTGAATAATTACCAGCCCCTAAAATAAGATTACTAAGCAGGGACTAGGCATCAAAGACAAACTTATAAATTGAAAATATTATCTTTTGGGAAAAATGTAGTATTAAATATTTGGGTCCCTAAATAATGATCATTAATAAATAAATAACTTTATCAATTAAATTTTGAAAAGTGAGATTTCCTATTTGAAGTGGCATCATACAAACGTCATTGATCACAACACCTTTCGAGAAACAAATCCCAGAATAACATTAAGAATAAAAACAAAAAGAAATACATATATGATAATATATTATGCACATATATAATGTATTATATATACATATATTATATATTTTTATTTTTTAATTATTTCAAATATATACTGTGTTTTCTATTCCACTATAGATTACCTTCCCATTAGCCATAATTACAAATAAACACGTAGAAATTCTACCTTTTCAAAACAAGATTCCATCTGTACTCTCCATGATGTGACCACACTACCCTTACTTCTAGTCCCTTCACTCCAGATGAGATCTTTAAAATATACCTCCTTTTGTCCTCCATTTGTATACATATTATCCCCTGTTCTGTCCCATCATTTTTAACTGAAAATACAAAGCTGCCTTGTCTTTTGGACCCATATTCTTATATTTACTATTTCTGTCTGAAGGAAAATGCAAACAAAACAAAACAATCAAAACTTGTATTTGCTTCTCGCCCACAGTGGAGAGTGTGCAGGAATCCCAGGGTTTAGATTTAGTGGTAGTTTTTTGCATTATTAAACATTAAAGAAGCCTGATAGAAAAGAGTTATTTAAGGATGCAATTTCAATTGAAGCTAGTTTTAATTGTAATCAATACTGTCCCAGGGAAAACACCTTTACTCAAACCAACCAGAAAAATTCAGTAAGAATAAAGACTTACCAGTTGGAGGAGATAATTGTCTCATCCAGGTTTTGGTAATCTTGATATTCTCCGATAGATAATCCCAGCCAGTATCTACGTAATTTCTTGGATTTTATAAATTTCTACAAGAAATAGAGATGTTTAAAAAAATTGTCTCCCCCGCAAAATAATAGCTATCTCCCATTTCTGTACATTACTTCACAACATAATTTCTTACAAATTACTGTTTTAAGGTAACATTTCTGACATTACACTATTTTTGATGCCATTAGAAAAAAATCAAAATGAAGTGCTCCTTATTGTAAGATTTCCTCCAACAGTTATTTATCAGATACTGTTTCACAAGTAAAACTATCTACCAAACCATGCATTTCTTTAACTTAGGGGCAGTGAAGGTCACAAACTTCAAGATTCAAGTATCCAGCAGTAGTCAGTCTAGGAGCAAAACAGGTGGTTAATCACTACATACACAAGTTAATTGAAACCGAAAAAGTAGGAGAAAAATGTAGCAAAGTCTGATGAGAAGTGGTTATAGAATAGAGATCCAGTCCAAAATTTTATAGGCAACATAAGCTGTTTTTCCCTCATAATCCAGACATTTTTTTGAGTAAATAACTAAGAATGGATCAGTTGACAATGATGAGAGGAGGAAGAAACTATGGTTAGATTTTCCCTGTAACTATAAAGGAGGAACCAGATTCTTACAGTAAGGAAGCTGACACTTTTGTGAAAATGAATTTTTTCCTTAAATAATATGGGAATACTATTTGAGAGACCAGAAATGCAGAGGAATAAGTAAAATATAGAGATACTACTTAAATATTAGAAAAAATAAAATAAATAAATACATATAAACATAAATAAATCTTCCAGAGAACTCATTTTCCTGGGACCCAGGGAGTCAGTATAATATGTCTGCTTGACGCTTGCCTTTGACATCCCATCTTAATTCTACCTTTTTATACATATTTTATCTAACCTATGTTTTTATTCTAGTATATGTTGGCTTTTTCTGTTAGTTAAAAAAAGACAAAATGATAGAAACAAAGAATCTTCTCCTATCTAGATTTTATAGAATTGGTAACCTTCAGGAATGATTTCCAGATCTCCTGCTTTTAGATAAATTCTCAGAAATTGTGTTCTGAGAGTTGATCCTAAAGTTCCAGTCTGGAAATGCTCACAGACCTAAAGATTCTGGCTACCCCATGTCTACACACCTGCCCAACTGCTGAGATTCCACTGACGTTAAGTACCTAAGCTAACATTCTATTCTATTTTATTTTTTTTTTTAAAGATTCTATTTATTTATTTATTTGACAGGCAGAGATCACAAGTAGGCAGAGAAGCAGGCAGAGAGAGAGGAAGGGAAGCAGGCTCTCTGCAGAGCAGAGGGCCCGATGCGGGGCTCGATCCCAGGACTCTGGGATCATGACCTGAGCCGAAGGCAGAGGCTTTAACCCACTGAGCCACCCAGGCGCCCCTAAGCTAACATTTTAGATGACACCTTGGCTAATCTACACGGTATGGTAAATATACTAAGTTTCAATCACCTCATACCCTAACTTAAGCCCGTGTCGGGATTAGTACAAATCTTCCCCAACATGCCTCATTCCTCTCTATTCTATGATGGGAAAAGTGACTTCCTTCTTCATAGGCAGAAGATCCATGGGACCTTACCAACACACTTTTGTTCTTAATCGTCAGCAGGCTGGCATTTTGAGCAGAACAGAACATGACACTCTTTTGCCATGTTTCATAATGGTCACTTAGTGTATAACAGCTGTCCTCATGCCACATCCATGCCTTTGGACAAGGTTTACATTTGTGCTCTGGAAGAAAAACATAGTTTCATTTGGTTTGTGTTGATAATCCTCATTATTCTTATTATTTCCAAAGTCCTCTATAATAAGTTAACCAAATTTACTTCTCTTTCTTCTTCTTACATGAAAGGTGAAGAAAATGCATCCTGTATTCCTGGTCCCTAGATACCACCACAATATGTCCAAAACATAATCTGAACAACACATTCTGAATTAAACATCCGGTGTATTGCAGTGTGTTTTCTTACCTCAGGAGTCGTAAATAATGATTAACTAACTTCTTTCTCTATTTTTTTTTTCATTTTTTGTACTACTACATGGCAATAAAGGCTAATCACGAAAACATTGTTTGGTAAGAATCTACCCCTCAAACCTACATCAACCTTGCCTTCTCCAACTACAGTGTTTCTGGCTGCCTGATGTTGAATATTTGGGAGAGTCCTCAAGAGCACAAAGAATATATTTTAGTTATAATAGCTATAGAAACTGTTAGAGATAATTCAAAAGCCAATTCTTCCTCATTCCATAGGCAAGGCTTAACTATTTCTTTTCTATGGACTCTCCTCAAACATTGACTGAAATGTAGGATAAGGTCACCTATAAAGATGAGACCTATCTTCTCTTCTTATCCTTTAAAAAGTGTATAAAGAGGTGCCCTCTCCTCTCCTCCCTAACTTCTATTAACCTCAGTTCCCAATATAACAGTAGTAGATGTCAGATTAGAGAAACTTCTAACTGCACAGAAATATCAGTGAGTCCTCTGTCAACTACATTTAATTCCTGTCTCCAAATAATGGCATCCTGGGGGGAGGTTGCCAGCTATTGATGAATGAGTCTCAAGTAACTCCTAAGTTTTGTTCATTGTCTAATAAATAGCTTGAAGAGGAATATAAGATTACCTGGTTCTCTTTTATACAGCTCATGACATAATTTGGTGGCTATTTCCTGCAGTGTGATCGACAGGTCCCTGATCATTTTGGAACTATTCTTGTTATGTATCAGTTGCAGAGAAACATTTTTCTGAAGTTCTTCTTTGAAATTTTGCATTTTATTCAATT